TTACAAGTTATAGGGCATAAGGGATTTTTTTTTTTTTTATAAATACAACTTGAATATGAAGAACATAATAGTATCTTTTTCGTTTTTGGCAGTACTGGAGTGGAACTCAGGTCTTTGCACCTTACTAGGAAGGTACTTCTACAAAATTGAGCCTGCTTCCAGATCTGTTTTGCTTTAGCTGGTTTTTTTTTTTTTTTCTTTTCTAGCTTTAGCTGTTTTTTGAATAGGGTGTTACGTTTATGTCTGGGACCAAACCTGGACCTCGATCCTCCTATTTATGCATCTGCATAGCTGAGATGAACAGGCACACACCACCAACACCCAGGCTTTTTTTTTTTTTTTTTTTTTTTTTTTTTTGGTTGAAATGGGGTCTCAGGAATTTTTTGTGCCCAGGCTGGCTTTTCGAACCACAAAGCTCCAGCCACCATCCAGTAAAAACATGATTGTATCTTGTTATCATAGTACAAGTTTATAGTTGGGGGAAAAAAAAAAAAAACCCTATGTATTGTACCATCTTTCATAGGAAACTTATATCATTTAAATGATCTTCAAGTAAAGAAAGAAAATCTTTCATCTTCAGCAAGTTAAAAAACAAAATTAGGCCTAAAAACATCTTGGTACAAACTGAAATGCATCTTAACTACAAAAATAAAAAAATTTACAATAAACTGAGCTGATCAGGTTTGCTGAAGAGTACAATACATGGTAATTATGCAGCAAGAGCACAGTATAGAAAACGTAAAATTCCAAAATAAAATTGCCATGGTTGAGAGACAAACAGAATCCACTCACACAAGCCCAGGAGTCTTAAAAAGGATCCTTTAAAAAGGTGATTTGTCAAGCTTCCTATCTTAATCATGGAAATTACTGGCTTTCCCCACCATTTCTTTAACTATTAACCATCTCGTTTTTTTTTTTTTTAAACTTTTTATGACTTATATTCATCAGTTTGGACCACTGAGGTTCATTGTGGCTCCAGTCTTCTCATTGAACATCTCTTGATTTTGATTTTTTTCTTTGTTTTTTTAACCACATCCCTTTTTTGTATCTGAGTAAAGGAACAGGCACATGTCACTTTGAAGTCAAATTTTCATAAAAAATGAGTTTCAGAGAATGTAGTGATTATTTCTTGAAGTGTGAAAAGGCTTTAAAACTATAAAAACCAATTCTGCAAAGGAGGAAAAAAAGTTCTTATAAGCAAAATAGAAGAAAGCATTACTTAAAGGGAGGAAATGGGATATGCAAATGACTGGAATAAGCTTTCAAGAAAAATACTATCAGAAAGTACACTTTTTTGGAAATGCTTGTTTTGATAGTTGTACTATAATATGATCACCATGAATGAAGTCTTCCTACATTATTGTAAAGAGAATTTATGGATATTGACTCTCTCTGGAGATAGAGAGACAACAATCAACTTCGTTATATTCCTCTCCAAACAAGCCCAGAGTATAAAAGGGTTGGTGTTTACAGTTAAACTGGATAATAACAAGGTGGGAACAAGATGAACAATTATCTAATATATGGGTACCACTACTGTAAAAGACAAGAAAAAAATATGAACTTGATGCTACAAAAGCAGTGAAATTAGCTCTAAACTATTTTTAGCCTGTGAATTCACAGGACCCTATTTTAATCTTAGCCCTGCAATTGCCTTCCTCATAAACTGGCCTAGTATACGGGCCAGACCTCACCGTACTCTTTGGGAAAGGACTTTTCATTCCCAATACCTTGATAAAGGTTCACTAATTAACACAAACTTGAGAAATCGTCAAGAGAGCTTAAATAGTGTTTGTGTAGTAGAAGTCTTAAATTATCCTTTGCTTTATCATAAGAATACAAAAAACACCTTGTGAGAAACACGCCACCAGCCTACATTACCAACCAAATATACTCAGTCGTTTCAAGCCACTTAAGTATCGCCACAGGGGTCACAATTAGGAAGATCCAAAATATTTCACCTTGAAAAACAACAACTACAGCACCAGCTCTTGTTATTCTACTTTTTAAGTCTCTGACCATTTCACCAAAATTTTTACAATCATTTTTATTCGTTCCTAAATACAAAATACTGCCCTCTCCACACCCTTGTCTAGAGATTCTTTCACCAATCAAAATTGAAAAACAAGAATGCCAAAACCAGTTGGGTGACTCCATACTTTGAATCTAGCAGGCTATCAAGTAAGTAGGATTCATCAGAGCAAACTTCATCTGAGTTCATTATCTGGTTCCCCAACCACGCCCTCATAACTCAGTTACTGACATATAACAAAACATCAACATTTATGTTTAAATAAAATTAAATTGTCTGCCATTTTTTCACTCTGTGTTTAATATTGTCCTCAGGACCATCATTCTTTATCAACAGCTTTCCAACAATTACCTTTTATGGTTGGTGCTTTCCTTTGCTTTTTTTTTTAAGCTAACCTGACCTTCTTATTCATTTGATTATTTTGTTATAGCTCTATTAGGTTTATTTATTTTTTCATTTTTTTTATTATTCATATGTGCATACAAGGCTTGGGTCATTTCTCCCCCTGCCCCACCCCCTCCCTTACCACCCACTCTCCCCCCTCCCCTCCCCCCCTCAATACCCAGCAGAAACTATTTTGCCCTTATCTCTAATTTTGTTGTAGAGAGAGTATAAGCAATAATAGGAAGGAACAAGGGTTTTTGCGTTGAGATAAGGATAGCTATACAGGGATTGACTCACATTGATTTCCTGTGCGTGTGGTGTTACCTTCTAGGTTAATTCTTTTTGATCTAACCTTTTCTCTAGTTCCTGGTCCCCTTTCCTATTGGCCTCAGTTGCTTTTAAGGTATCTGCTTTAGTTTCTCTGCGTTAAGGGCAACAAATGCTAGCTAGTTTTTTAGGTGTCTTACCTATCCTCACCCCTCCCTTGTGTGCTCTCGCTTTTATCATGTGCTCAAGTCCAATCCCTTGTTGTGTTTGCCCTTGATCTAATGTCCACATATGAGGGAGAACATACGATTTTTGGTTTTTGGGCCAGGCTAACCTCACTCAGAATGATGTTCTCCAATTCCATCCATTTACCAGCGAATGATAACATTTCGTTCTTCTTCATGGCTGCATAAAATTCCATTGTGTATAGATACCACATTTTCTTAATCCATTCGTCAGTGGGGCATCTTGGCTGTTTCCATAACTTGGCTATTGTGAATAGTGCCGCAATAAACATGGTGTGCAGGTGCCTCTGGAGTAACAGTCTTTTGGGTATATCCCCAAGAGTGGTATTGCTGGATCAAATGGTAGATCGATGTAGCTTTTTAAGTAGCCTCCAAATTTTTTCCAGAGTGGTTGTACTAGTTACATTCCCACCAACAGTGTAAGAGGGTTCCTTTTTCCCCGCATCCTCGCCAACACCTGTTGTTGGTGGTGTTGCTGATGATGGCTATTCTAACAGGGGTGAGGTGGAATCTTAGTGTGTTTTAATTTGCATTTCCTTTATTGCTAGAGATGGTGAGCATTTTTTCATGTGTTTTTGGCCATTTGAATTTCTTCTTTTGAGAAAGTTCTGTTTAGTTCACTTGCCCATTTCTTTATTGGTTCATTAGTTTTGGGAGAATTTAGTTTTTTAAGTTCCCTATATATTCTGGTTATCAGTCCTTTGTCTGATGTGTAGCTGGCAAATATTTTCTCCCACTCTGTGGGTGTTCTCTTCAGTTTAGAGACCATTTCTTTTGATGAACAGAAGCTTTTTAGTTTTATGAGTCCCATTTATCTATGCTATCTCTTAGTTGCTGTGCTGCTGGGGTTTCATTGAGAAAGTTCTTACCTATACCTACTAACTCCAGAGTATTTCCTACTCTTTCTGTATCAACTTAAGAGTTTGGGGTCTGATATTAAGATCCTTGATCCATTTTGAGTTAATCTTGGTATAGGGTGATATACATGGATCTAGTTTCAGTTTTTTGCAGACTGCTAACCAGTTTTCCCAGCAGTTTTTGTTGAAGAGGCTGCTATTTCTCCATTGTATATTTTTAGCTCCTTTGTCAAAGACAAGTTGGTTATAGCTGTGTGGCTTCATACCTGGGTCCTCTATTCTGTTTCACTGGTCTTCATGTCTGTTTTTGTGCCAGTACCATGCTGTTTTTATTGTTATTGCTTTGTAATAAGTTTGAAGTCAGGTATTGTGATACCTCCTGCATTGTTCTTTTGACTGAGTATTGCCTTGGCTATTCGTGGCCTCTTGTGTTTCCATATAAATTTAACAGTAGATTTTTCAATCTCTTTAATGAATGTCATTGGAATTTTGATGGGAATTGCATTAAACATGTAGATTACTTTTGGGAGTATAGACATTTTTACTATGTTGATTCTAGCAATCCATGAGCATGGGAGATCTCTCCACTTTCTATAGTCTTCCTCAATCTCTTTCTTCAGAAGTTTATAGTTTTCCTTGTAGAGGTTTCACATCTTTTGTTAGGTTTACACCTAGGTATTTGATTTTTTTGAGGCTATTGTAAATGGAATTGTTTTCATACATTCTTTTTCAGTTTGCTCATTGTTAGTGTATAGAAATGCTAATGATTTTTCTATGTTGATTTTATATCCTGCTACCTTGCTATAGCTATTGATGATGTCTGAAGCTTCTGTGTAGAGTTTTTTGGGTCTTTAAGGTTTAGGATCATGTCATCTGCAAATAGGGATATTTTGACAGTTTCTTTACCTATTTGTATTCCTTTTATTCCTTCTTCTTGCCTAATTGCTCTGGCTAGAAATTCCAGTACTATGTTGAATAGGAGTGGAGATAGTGGGCATCCTTGTCTGGTTCCTGATTTTAGAGGGAATGGTTTCAATTTTTCTCCGTTAAGTATAATGCTGGCTGTAGGTTTGTCATATATAGCTTTTATAATGTTGAGGAACTTTCCTTCTATTCCTAGTTTTCTTAGAGCTTTTATCATGAAATGGTGTTGGAGCTTGTCAAAGGCTTTTTCTGCATCTATTGAGATGATCAAGTGGTTTTTGTCTTTGCTTCTGTTAATGTGGTTTATTACGTTTATTGATTTTCGTATGTTGAACCACCCCTGCATCCCTGGGATGAAGCCTACTTGGTTGTGATGCTGTCTTTAAATAATAACTATGGTCTTCAATATAGATTTGCAAAAGGGAAAGGAAGTACCTCAAATGACACTGAAAAAAACTGACCTAATGATGATATAATATTAAAAAGACAGTATACACTGTCTTTATCTTATTTTGAGAATCAGAAATTATTTTTCAAGAGTATATTCTAAAGAAAACAGAAGCTTAACAAAAGACTGCTGTGCTAATGTGAAAGAATCCAAAGAAATTATTTAAATATTTTAACTCCCATTTTAGTTAGAGAACTCAGATTCCCAATGTTGGCAGTTCTTTAAACCAGTACTTACCTTTAGTTTATCAGGGGATGTGTAAGGAGCTTCAGGAGCATAAATTCTGAAAATATCAGCAAGGCAGCAGGCTACGAGCAAACGAACATCTTTATCAGGATGCTTCAGGAAAAAATCAGAAGCAAGATGTAAAGCTAGATTTAGATAAAGCTCCTTTTCTTCTTCAGAGTCCTGGTCCATGTCCATGAAAGTTTTCACAACCATCTACATAAAAACAAAAATAATCAAATAATGAAATGTTCCACATAAAAATGAAGTTACCTAAAATAAAGACTATTATTCAAAGATTCACTCAAAATAAATACACTTTCATCTTTCCTGAGGATGTATGTCTTTGAGAGTACAAGATCCTTCTAAAACTACAGGGTAAATAACTTTTCTTTAAAAGACTAAGTAAAATATTTTTCAAGCCAGCGTGGTGGCTCACGCCTGTAATCCCAGTACCCAAGAGGCTGAGGCAGGAGGATCCTGAATTGGAGGCTAGCCTGGGCTATATATAGTGAGACCCTGTCTTAAAAAAATTAATTAAATTTTAAAATAAATATTTTTCACTTACCCAACATACATGTTAACCAGATTTTTTTTTAAAGTTTAAAATTAGCTTTATGCAATGGTCATTTAGTAGGAAAATTCTAGTATTTGTTGAAACTTCTGGCCTTATTTGTACAAATAAACTAAAAGGGTTACATTCTTCTTAAAAATAGCATCTTCTTTAATAATATTTTTCATTAGAGAAAAAGACATATCCCTAGAGAAAAACCTAGTATGAAAATTTTAATTTTCATCTTAGCCACTACACCCTCCAGACATATGGTTTTATATATTCAGCTAAAAAAGAATTAAAAAAAATAGACTCAGGAAAGGGTATCAAAGATGCATCCTTCAGTAACCATGAAGTAACTAGTATGGCAACCAACAAAATACTTTTTGTGCCACAATAAAGGAGAACATGGTATGGATATTTCATCAATTTAATGGTATGAATGTGTTGAGCAAAAGGAAGCTATAAGAAATGGATCCTTTTTCAAAAATATATAAAAGAGGGATGAAATCTAGAATGGTGAGGAATTACATAGCTTAAATTGTGTGAAGAACATTGTCTATTTCAGTATTAGTATAATCAACAATGACCTCAGTCTATACAATTCTTACTTCAAATGAGACTTAAAGCCGGGTGGTGGTGGCTCATGCCAGTAGTCCTAGCTATTCAGGAGGCAGAGATCAGGAGAATCACAGGTCAAAGCCAGCCCAGTGAAATGTTTGAAGAGACCCTGTCTCAAAAATAACCCAACGCAAAAAAAGAGCTGGCAGAGTGGCTCAAGTGGTAGAGCGTCTGCCTTCAAGAGAGAGACGTATCATTCAAGAAAGCCCTGCATTCAAGAGAGAGACATAACAAAATTGCCTAATTTGACAAGAATTGATATTTAAATGGAGCACCAATGAAGAGGTGATCATTCAGCACCAAGTGGTGCTGCAAATACTATGCAACAAATCGGGCCAATGTATCAATGTCTATGCCTTGGTCTTATACTACAAGGATTTGCACTTGCTGTACAGCTAGACTTCTGAGTAATAAATGCTTCAATTTCATATTGAGTTCTCAGAGCAGTCAGGGAAAAAGTTGTTCCTCACAGAGCAACCCCTCAGTTCTGTGATACAAAACCAACAGCCAACTAATCCTTCCAGCCTGACACTATAGTTAGTTAAAGGCTGTATTATCCAGAACTACTCTTGTAACTTTTTAGTTGTATTACTTTAAGATGTGTGTTTTGATGGTCTAGGTGTTTATAAAAGGACAAAGGGAAAAAAGATCTATGTACACAAAATGGTATTTTTCTTAGAATCTCTTCACAACAGTGGGAGATGAAATACATTTTGAATAAAGTATTACAGAAAAACAAGAAACTACATAAGCAATGTCACTGTATATTAACAAATTTTATAATTTATAGGACTTATGCAAATGCTTGTATATATCAAAAAATATTATCATCCCACATTAAATCCATCTTATATTTCTTTAAGGAGGAGGATGCTAAAAATTAATAAAAAGTATAAAATAGAAAAATAAATGATGAAAAGTTTATTAGCCAGATAAATGTCTTCAAAACAATGAAAGCATACTATCAAACACTAAATTTGATTACTATGGAAATCATTATACCAAGAGTAAAAAGAAAATTTGCTCAAGATCCAGATACTGGGAATTTCACTTTGTCTGCAACTACAACAGTATTATAAGACTCAAGAATAACTCTTGAGTCCTCTAAAGAAGATGTCTGAGAAAATAACATTCCTAAAAGACACCACAAGCTAACCAGTTTGTAAGTGAAAGCTCTGTTTGCATTTGAGATCACTTTCTCAGCAAACAATGCAGATGTTTACCTATTATCCCTGGAATAAACAAATCTGTCATACATAGAAGGGGTCTGTAGCTTGACTTTTAATAAAATACATACAAGCTCCTACCAGATAAAATATCCACATATTAATAAATTTAATCTGCTAAAAGATATTTTTCTTTCAAATAATAAACATCTGATATCTGACATTTAAATATTTTATGTATAAACATATAAGATCGAGAATTTATGTGGAATTTATAGTAATATTAACATCCTTTTCTCTTTATAAAATAACACCATACAGCATGGCTCCTGGGTGATTAAGAAAAGTTTTCAGCACTGACATTCAGGTAAATAATACTGTATCAATAAATATTACACAATATAAACATGTATTGAAACATTACATGGTACTACCCCATTAATGTGTACAATATGTATCAGTTTAAAAATGGATATTATAATAATATATAGGATAATGTAAATGTCTAGGTAGATTTCTTTAAAAAGGAGGAAAAATGCTCAAAAATAAAGACCATCTGAACAGATAAATACGCTTAACTTTCACCACATGCACTATGCTACTTCAACCGTTTTAACAATCACAGGGACCATCACTAACCCTTGTCATACAATGATGGCCTCATCTATGGAAATTCACCATGAATCTTGATCTATTACTGCATGCAAGAAAAAGAGGAAGAAGCTAACAGTTAAACTCTTTGACCTAATTTCTAAATAACTTATAAGAAAATAAAGTACAGCCCAAGTACTAAGTACAAAGACTTAAAGCGTCCTTTCTTAGATTTAAATGGTTGCTTTAGAAAATAAGTGAGATACAGGAGAAAAGAAGAAAATTTTGTACAGATAAAACAGACTGTAAGAATACTGTGGGCTTGTTCTTTACCCTGAAGTAGAGGAGGCCCTAGAAATTCTAAAGCTTAACCCTTCTAATTGTGCTCATTAGTAATAGCCAAGGAATCCTTATAGATCCTTACCTACTCTACTCCCTTAGATTCTTTCTCTGTTATTTGCTTTTTCTTAAGTTGCGAAAACAAGATGCAACCCTACATGATTCCCACAGGAAAGTTCACACTTTAAAAGGGTATCTAAAATAAGTACTAAATATTACTCACCTTTAGCCGTCTCACCATTTCTTCTTTAGATATTTTATCTGAGATTTCCTTGACACCAGGAGGATAAGTAATCTTTCCATCATTGGTCCTTGTCTTTGAATGAGCCATGATGGAAATACTTTTACCCCTAAAAAAAGAAAAATTATTAGATGTAAACTAAAAATTGATATAAACAGCATTTATAATAAACGTAAGCAACTTGTCTCCCAAAAGATAATTTGTAACTGCCAAATGTATACAAATTCACTTTATCTATGAAAATTTCTCTATTAAACATTTCCCAAAATTGTTCTGTAGAAAAACAAATTTGTTTTTATGTTCATTTCCATTAGGAGCAAGCTGTATTATCTGCACTAACTTCCCAGCAAAATAGTAAATAATCCCCTCCACAGGGTAGAGGGGATCCAAAATAAGCCCATTTTTTAAAGCAGCACAAATTATTCCAACCAAAATCTAGAAAAAACAGGGGCCCAGAGAAGTAAATGAAGCACTGAAGCAGTATATCTCCACTTATGCTCTGAAGGAATTTATCAAACCTGATGAAAATAGAACTCTGTTTTCATGATCTCGTAAAACAAAAAGGGATGGAGAATCTGTACCTGTCAAGGTACAAAGGCAAATAAAAAACTCTCCTAACCAGGTGCCAGTGGCTTATGCCTGTAATCCTAGCTATTTGGGAGGTTCGAAGCCAGCCCGGGCAAATAGTTTACGAGACCCAATCTCAGAAAAACCCATCACAAAAAAAGGCTGGTGGAGTGGCTCAAGGTGTAGGCCCTGAGTTCAAACTCCAGTATCACATAAAAAGCGAAAAACAAAAAACTCTCCTAATATTCATGTGGAATTCTACCCCACCAATCCAAAAGGTACACCTACAAAAGGAAATAAGAAATCAACTGGGTGCCTTTTTCCTCCCAGCCCTATCCCCAGAGAGAACAGCAAAGAAGGCTGCTTTAGCCCTAAACAGAACATATTAATGGATAGCTAATTAGTTTTGGCCACAGGCCTTGCGTATTTGCTGATGTTCACTTGATCTCAGTCCTGAGAACCTAAACCATGAGCCCAGTGACACACACATCCCCAACTGGTAGTAGTCCCAAACACCTAACAGAAGTTAAATCCAATTCCTGCCTAGAGAAGGGCCATCATCATCTTAAGCTTCAAAAAAGCAAATGTATGATGTTTTTAAGGCAACAGTATCAAATCCAAATACCTAAGAAAATAAAACATTATGAACATGAAGCAGCAGAAATACCACACTGAGAACAGATTTAGAATTCTTTAGCTGTTAAAGCAATCAGCATTCATAAAACTACTATATTTATAATGTTAAAAAGAAACAAGACTACAAATACCTAAAAGAAAAATTTATAAAGAATAAGCTAGAAAAATGAAGGAAAAAAAAAAAGGCAGGACTAAAAATGAAAAAAACACAAACTGAAATTAAAATCTTCGATAATTCATTATCAGATAGTTAAACCTATTAGAGCTGATGAACCAGGGAGGAGAGGCCAAAAGAAATTATCTAGGGTACAAAACAGAGAAACATAAAACTGCAATACACAGAAGAAAGGATGTCTTTCCACCAGTGTCTCATGTTTAAAATCCTAGGAACTTGGAAGGCTGAGATTGGGAGGATAGCAGTTGAGGCCAGCTGCAGCAAAAAGTTTGTGAGATCCCCATCTCAACAAAAAAAACCTGGGTATGGTGGCACAGGTCTTTCATCCCAGAAACAGCAGGAAGTTTAAAATAGGAGATTGCAGTCCAAGCCAGCCTAGGCAAAAAAAGAGAGACTCTATTTCTAAAATAACCAGAGCAAAAAGAGCTGGATGTATGACTCAAGCAGTAGAGCACCTACCTTGCAATTGAAAAACCCTGAGTTCAAACCCCAGTACTGCCCAAAAAAAGAGCAAGGATAAGTTCATGATATTCTTCATGGGAATATCAGAAGAGTGAAGCAGAGTCCAAATACCTACAAAGAATACCATAAAATACTAATCCACAAATTTAAAAGACTAAACAGCATTAAATTCAAAATAATAGTAAAAATTCCAAAAAATAAACAAAATCTTAAAACAAATTCACGGCCTTGAAAAGAACAGCATTTAAACTAACAGGTGATTTCTCAACAGCAACGAGTAAGCCAGGAGAAAAATGTCTTTTTCTATATGGGAAAAGAGTATAATTGCAAGCCTGGAGTTCATATTCAAGGAATGAAAATCTTCAAGAACAGGTGAAATAAGGACAAAATCATGAAACAACATAGATGTATATATGTATTTATGTATCAACCAGAACATTATTTAGCACATACTAAGTACTTAAGTGTATATGATACACATGATCAAGTAAAAGAACAAGATTTTAAAGTTTCAATATGAGGAGCTTAAAAAATAATGAAAAATGTAGATGAGACACTGAAAGTAAAAGAAAGTAAATGAAAAAAATATAAAAGCTAAGCAAAAGAAACACTTAAGCTACTTATCAATATAAGAAAATGTAAGGAGAGCCCCAGGGTCTACTCCTCTAAGATGTATATTAGAATGTTCACAGCAACATCATTCATAGTAGTCAAAACAGAAAATACAAATGCCCATCAACCACAGAACACGTAAACTGCAGTAACTGTAGTATATTCACACAATATAAAACAATACAACTATGAATAAATCAAATACTGCTTCATACCATAATATGCATTAATATTACAAAGGTCAGTGAAAGAAGATACAAAACTGCATCAAATATAACTAATTTATATGAGTTCAAAAACAGAAAAACCTACTCTATGATGTTAAAAGTCAGCATAATGAATTCCTTTGTGGTGGGGGTGATGGTAACTAAAAGGGGTAAAAAAGGGGTGTAATTACGTAAGTGTTTTCACTTTGTGTAAAATCAGAGTTAAAGACATAACTTTTGTCGTTTTCTGAATTCATGTTACACTGCAATAAAAAGTTTAAGAAAAAGGGCAACAAGATAAGCTTCATAGATTTAAATTTTTTAACACACTGATTCATCAATGAATCAATAAAGTAAAAAGCACAGATCAATCTTTCAAATATGGCAACATCTGGAAATAGACAAACTGAGGATATCCAAGTCCAGGTGGCTTTACTGCAGACTTACCAAATAACTGAGGAAGAAAAGATTCAAACAATATACAAACATTTCCAAGGAATAGAAGAGAATCCATCTCAACGAATTTCATGCAACTAAATAGCATAACTGCTACCAAAAACCAATGGGACCAATGAAGAAAAGAAAAATCTCAACCAACCCTATTCATAAACATAAATGGGAAACTACTGAACAAAAAATATTAAGAAACCAAATGTAGCAACACACACTCATGCACGTGCACAAACAAACGTATACACATTTTCCTGGGAATGCAAGGCTGAATTCACCTTTTCAGGTTAGAAAAGAAAAATCCTATTTGAATTAAACAGAGTAAAAGGCTCAATGAGTGCAGAAAAATATTTAATAAAATCCTAAATTAATTCATGACCATAAAGGAGGAGAAAAAAAAAAGTTTAGTAAACTAAGAATTTGATGAAAGGTTTCTTTTATCTGAGAAAAACAGAGTGTTACAAACATCCTAAGTATAAAAAGTGCTTAATAACCCACTGAAAGTTTTTATTTGTGACTGGAAACTACAGAAACATTCCTGATAGTCTTTTTTTTTGGGGGGGTGGGGGAAGGTGGTACTGAAGTTTGAACTCAGGGCCTCACAGTTGCTACACAGACACTCTACTGCTTGAGCCACTTCACCAGCCCTATGTCATTTTTATTTGACACTGTAACAAAAGAAAGGGAAAAAAAAAGAACAAAGGAAAGAAAAAAGAATAAGCATTTAAAAGAAAGGAATCAGCTATTATTTGCAAATGCTAAGAACATATATAGAGAGAGAAATTCCAAAAGGATTTGCCAATAAAACATTTGAATAAATCCAAGTTTAGCAAGGATACTGAATAGAAAAATCACTACACAAACATCACCTACAGGTAACACAACTTTCCTAACAGAGAAAGGCAAGAAACAGAAAATAATAGGCCTATATATTAAAAACAAAGAAATAAAATTGTCCCTACTTCAGATGACATGATTGTCTACACAGAAGATTGTAGTCTACAAAAATTTTTTTAAATTCTAGTTCACCAAAACTGCAAGATCAACATCCCAAAATGTACTGTTTCTATATACAAGCAAATAACAGATAGAAATCTAAGTTAAAAACACAATACCATTTACTAATGCTACCCACCCCCATTAATGTAATACTTTCGTATAAGGCTAACAAAACTTACTCAGGTCTAGTATGCTGAAAATTACAAATCAATGATAAGAGACATCAAAAAAGATCTAAATTATGAAAGGACATACCATGTTCATGGACTAAAAGATTCAACAGTGTGATGATGTCAATTCTCAAGTTTTTCTATAAGTTTAAGAATCACATCAAAACCCAGTTAAAGCTTTTTATAGAGACAAGCTTATTTGAAAATTTATATAGAAAGGCAAGGTACACAGAATGACTAAATAGCTTTGGAAAAGTAATAAATATGAGGAAATCATTCCAAAAATTTTGTAACTTTCTATATATTGTAAGCTACAATAAATAAGACAATAGTATGTTAGCAGAGAGACAATACATAACAGAACAAAACAGGATGCAGAATAGACCCACACAATACACCAAATGTAATTTTTTACAAAGGTTGCAAAGCACTTCAATGAAGCAATAAGTATTATTACACCATCAGTACTAGAGCTAACTGGATGTCCACAGGCAAAGAGAAAATGAGCCATTCGTAAGTTTATATGGTTTACCTAATTTTTTAAAAGATCCAAAGATTTTAAATGCAATTATAAAAACTTGTTAGAAGAAAACATTTTATTAAAACAAGTAAACCTCCACCACAGCTAGATGAGGAGTTCTTTAAAAAATGACACCCAAATTGCAAGATGCCTAAGAGTGAAAAACTGCTGAACTGGGATTTCAAATTTTTTAAAATTTTGTTCGTGAAAAAACTATTAAAAAGGCATGGCAGGAAAAGTTACAAATTAGGAGAAAATATTTGTAAAACAAACCTATCTGATAAATGACTCATATCGTAATACAAAAA